ATAATGTTTTAAGGGGTCCTTGAGTTATGGGATTTCCGAATTGTAATTGTTGGAGAATCATTAAGTAATATTTATTTATTAGTTTTCTTCAGCGGTTTATTTATTCTTTATTATTCATCTTTGTATTCTGTGCTTGTTAAATACTTAAATTGTTTTGATATCCCTTGATTTTGTGCGCGGACTTGATCAATCCGTGTTCCAAAATTAGGGGGTATCACAGTTGGTATCAGAGCACTCCAGGTTCAAGTGTCCCTAGGGTGTCTTTCGTTGTGTGACTTCCGCGTTGTGTACTCTTTTACTTAGAGCTTAAGTTTAGGATTCATTGTATTCTATATTCGGTCCGTTAGTGTGTCCTAATGGTAAATCATTGAGTTTTATCAGGAAAATGGTAAGACACCGATTTAGAAGGTATTGGTAAATCGTTGAGTCTTCCCCTGATTTTGAAGTATGGGTTTTATGAATTTATGCACCAATAAAATAATATGGAGGTATTTTAGGGACGGATTAACGGAATAGTTAAGTCCTACCTATTTATTTATGAATTGTATGATTTAATACACCGGTATGGGACGGTGGCATTTCAGGGACGGATTAACCAAAGAAGTTAAGTCCTACCTATATATTTATAAGGGAACGGATTAACCATAGCGTTAAGTCCTACTTATTCGTGTCAGGTCAACGGAATAGTTGGATGGTATGCCATTGAAATAATATGGTTGGATAGTTTACTTTTATGGAGATATAATGGATTATATATATATACATACACACATACATATATGGGCCATGATATAAGCTTGAGTCTCAGGATCAGTGGTTAGGATGGAGGCGTATATTGCCGATTGAGATGGGTAGCTGGGTTTAAGGATGTGTGGGCTCTGATAGAAGGAGGACTCATAACCACCTTTGTGTGCGTTTTACATGAGATACCCATTATTCGGTTGAAACTGCTTTAGTCCAGTGAGAGTCTCTAGTGTGTACTTATATTTATTAATTATATAAATATGGAATTAGCTAATTACGTGATGTGTCTGCTAGTAATGAATATGTGTGAATGGGTTAATTTCCACACGGATAAAAGGAATAATGAAATTTGAAATTAAATAATCAAAGTTTTTATTTCATGGATTTGTGAATTCCGAGGACGGAATTCTGTTTGTTAGGGGGGAAGAATGTAATACCCCGATAATTTTAAAAGATTTATTAATTAGGATTAATTATTTTATTTTATTTTTCAATGATTTATTTTATTTTATTGAGTGCTAGATTAATTATCTTATTTTAATTAAGTTATATTTCGTGATTATGTACGATGATTGATTGTTTGTGTGGTTGATTATTGATTGAATTATTGGTGTGTTGATTTTATTGGTATTATATGACTTAGTTGTAAATTCTTGTTTGTTTATGTGCTTCATGTAATTAGTTATTTTAATTTCTGTATTTAATTAATTATCTTATTTATTTAAATTAATTGGATTGGGCTTAAGGAAAGTTGGACCAAAAGATGTGGTCTTGGGCTTGTATGAAACCTTATTGGGTTAATTAATGAAGGTCCGTGGTTATTTAATTATTTAAATGATCACTTTTGTATCAATTATATTTATATATATATATATATAATTATATATAAATATAATTAATTAATAATTGTTATGGAAAGATATATATATAGATATATATTTATTGATATTTATAAGTATATATGATTTAATTAACTAATGAGTTAATTATGGAAGGAATATATATTTATATATATATATGTTTATAGATATAAATTATTTAAAGATTATTATTTTAATTCATAATACTAGTTGGAATAGGATTTGGAATTTAAGGTGTATAAAAATACACATAAGGCTTTAGGGTTAAAGGTTTTACACGTTAGAAAAATAAAACAGACAGAGAGAGAGGAAGAAGAAGGGCTGACAAGGAGGAGGTCGGATCTGAAAAGGAGGACGTCGGAATTGGAAGAGATAATTAAAGCTTAAAGCGTCGGTTTCGTTTCGAAACCTTCAGGCGAATTTTCTCTAACTTTCCTCTTAGAACTCATAAGGATTTCACCTTGAGTATCAAGGCTTTAATTAAATTTATTTGTTTAAAAATTATGGTTAGATCGGAATAATTAAAAAGTATACACTATTATATTTGATTTTTAGATTATTGGATTTTAATTGATATATATAGGTGTTATGTATATTTTAAAATCAATCTATAGGTGGATTTGTGACCCAAGAGAGTTAATTATGGTTTCTTTATTTTCTAGAATTGTTCTGTAATTTTCTGAAATTTTTCTGATATTTTTAGGAATTTATTAGGATTTATTTTCCTATTATTTGTTAGGAAAATAATTATATATATATATATATATATATATATATATATATATATATATATACACTAGGTAACTGGCGCATGTGGAGCGGCGGCACAATAAAGAATTGATCCAGTGCGGCGCGGTGTAGGATAATAGGGTGTATACGCCAATTATGGCCATTTGATTAATTAAACTTATGTGAATTGATATGGTGCATCGCGGCGCATAAAACTTTGGTGCGCATGTGTATCTGGACCATAGAAGTGGTCTGGTCAACTATGGGATTATTTGGTGTATTGCAGACCATGAGAAGATGGTGCACTCGCTGATCTGGACCTTAGATCTATTATAGTTAATAGAAAATAATCTAGTGTGAGCGTGTTCATTTGCGCACTCATTTATGACCATTTGATGCGGCATAAAGGAAGTGATGGATTCAGTGTGGTGAGCTCACGGTAGCTGAAAGAGCTTAGCCAATACCAGCACACAAGGAGGCTTGAATCCAGCGCGTGCAAGTGCACAGTAAGCACGTGGGCCCGCGTGGGAAACTATGTTGGCCTAATTCGACACTAGAAATTAAAACGGTCATAACTTAGTCATTTTAAATCGAAATTGGGTCATTCTTCAGCTCAAATTCAAGGATTTTTCGTCCTCTTTCCAATGGTACCAATTTCATTATCAGATTCTTATCCTAATAAGAGATATTTACGTTTTAGTGAGACGGTGTCGGAAAACTATTTAAACCGGTATGGAGTATTTAAAGGAAACTATTTCTGACATATTTAGTTGCATTAATTTGTGTAAATATAATAAATTAATAATTTGTTATGGAAGGAAGTGTATATATATATATATATATAATTATATATATATATATATGTATGTATGTATATATATTGATTTTAAATAATCAAGGATTATTAAAGAAGGTGTTAAACACATATATACATTAAATAACATATGTGTAGGTATATATATATATATAAATCATTTAAGATGATTAATATTATCATTCTTATTTGGCATATCTTAATAGGCTGGTTGTTAAATTAATGATATGCGTATAATATGCATGTGATGGCTATGTATGATTTAGCGTATTGTTAATTTTAAAGTTAATTCATGGTTAAAGTGTGGGCATGGATGAATTGTCAAATGATTAAATATATTACCTAAATATTTGTATAAATAGAATGCATATATGGAAAGCATGGATGAATTGCTAATTAAATGTATGAATAAATATACCTGTGGAGGCATGGTTGAATTGCCAATGTATAAATTTACATACACGGAGGCATGGTTGAATTGCCAATGTATAAATAAATATACTTATGGAGGCATGGTTGAATTGCCAATATATAAATAAAAATATTTACAATGGCATGGTTGATTTGTCAGAGCATAATTACGTTGTTATGTGTTAGATGATTAAAATATCATCTATGGTTGTTGTATGTATGGATTGGATTAGGGTTAGATATTCTTAAATGAGAATAGTTTAGTACTTACTGGTTAGTGTATTATTTTACATTAATAAAATAATATTGGGGAAGACGTGGATGATTTGTCAAAACTTGGATTTTGGATATGTGATTTAAACAATTAAAATCATTATCGGGTTGGGATTAAATAGAGTATTTCTTTTATTATAATTTGTTGTTTAAATGATTAAACAACTGACTAGGATGGGATTAAGGTCAAAGGAGTTTTTATAAAATGAAATGGTAGATTGGTCTAGGTATGAATATTATTTTAATAATTATTTAATAGGTATGGAAATTTAATAAACCTATCAATGGATGTGATTAGTATAGTATATATAATTATATATAGACATGTATATCGTGCTTTATTAAAGTTAAAACTTTATTAGGTTTGGTTTTAATCAGAGATGATCTGCTTATTGGTTTTCAGAGGCCTGGTAGAGTGAACTTGCTTGTAGGGTTTAACCCACGATTTATTTTTCAGGTTATTAGGGGTTCCAGTCTCGAGGTTGAGGATCCGCAGCTGGGAGACTGTCATTCGTCTATTCATCTTGTGTACTTTTAAATAGTATTGGATTATTGGATAATGTTTTAAGGGGTCCTTACGTTATGGGATTTCCGAATTGTAATTGTTGGAGAATCATTAAGTAATATTTATTTATTAGTTTTCTTCAGCGGTTTATTTATTCTTTATTATTCATCTTTGTATTCTGTGCTTGTTAAATACTTAAATTGTTTTGATATCCCTTGATTTTGTGCGCGGACTTGATCAATCCGTGTTCCAAAATTAGGGAGTATCACAGATAGGGAGGGATAGCTATCCCTCCCTATCTTTCATTTGCTTTCTCCTCAATTTTGAGAAGATAGGGAGAGATAGGGAGAGAAATGATAGTGATTTTAGTGGTATTTTGATAATACCAAAATTAGCCTCCACAAATCAATACACAGATTTATTATTCCATTCAAGTCCCGTGATTATGAAAGGATAAAAAAGTAATTTGTCTATTATCCTTTCTTTTCTTTTCTCCCCTCTATTTTATCCAAACAAGAATAACTATTATTTCTTTTCTTTTCTCCCCGTTCTATCCAAACACAAATAGAAATTATTACTATCCTTTCTTTTCTTTTCTCACCAAACTATCTTTTCTTTTCTTTTCTTTTCTCTCATAACTAATACTATCCAAACACACCCTAAGAGACAAGACTGAAGAGAAGAGGTGTTGGATTGAGCGGCGCGGCTCGGCTGTAAGAGAGAAGACTGAAGAAAAGAGGAAGAGAGAAGAGAGAAGAGGGGCTGAGGTTGTAAGAGAGAAGAGGGGAAGAGAGAACACTGAAGAGAAGAGGGAGGCGTGGCTGAGGCTGTATATATTGTATACTGTATTCAATATTGTATATATATATATATATATTAATAAGTATATACTATATATTCAATATTGTGTATATATTATATATATATTATATTAATATATTATTTAGGTAATGATTCGATTCGGATCGATTTTTTAGAAGTCAATCCGTTAACCGAATCGCGAATACCGAATTGCAAATTTTTCAAACCATTACCGAACTATGAGATCTGAAAATCGAACTGAATCACACGAATTGGATTGGTTCGAACCGAATTGACGAATTATTTGCTCACTCCTGAGTGGTTGAACAACCACAATTGCCACGAGGAAAAGGATTCATGCTAGTTGTACGTGTGTATGAAATTGTTAAAGTTAACACGTGAAATCACGTGCCAGCCATTGCGTTGTTGCAACTACATTGTCAAAGTACAAATATAAATGTCATCTTTGCAATGGGCACCAACCAACCCAGGCATGGGGGGATGATAAAAAGTAAAATAACTTTATATAATTTCTTGGACTTTCATTAATTAAAAAATATGATTTGTAGACTATATTTTTGCAATTGTAATGGTGACAGATTTGATTTTAAACAGTTACCAAATTAAATAAAATTATATTAATTTTTCAAAGTAGTCAAAACCACCCAAGTGTTCTAATTACTATTAATTTTTCCCACCCTAAATTCGTAGAATATTTTCAGGTTAAGTGGTGATTGATTAAACAAAATAAGCTACATACTAAAAAACTTGAATTTGATGCAAATTAGAAGCTAAACACATGAAAATCACCAAAATTCCCAACACATGCTAGTTTCTTAAATAGAACCAATAACAAAACAAATAATAGATAAATTATACATACAATTGCTTCATAAATTCTTAGTGAATTAAATTTTGCACCAATTTAATGTGTAACAAAATTTTCATCATGCAAATTGATTAACAAAATAATAACATATTACCAAACTACCTTTTTCGATTTCACTCATTTCAGTAAGCTTTCATCTTCTCAAAAAGTGGACCTACAAAAAATAAGTTCTCAGATTAATAACTACTTATCCTAATACAATTAGCCACTCCAAATTACAAAGCTTGAGATGCAACCAAACAATTTGTGTGTGTGTATATATATATATTAACTAAAAATATTAATACCTCACCCACAACACTTTATTTTGCAGGCATGGTATTTTTGGTTCCTGTTTTGCTAAATGACAGCTCACGCAGACCACCCTAGCACCAATTGGTGTTAACTTGCAGACTTAAAATAGACATCAACCCCTCTAAAGTTAGCATTAAATTTTTCTTCTTTTTAAATCAGTCATTTTTTGTTCAATATTGTGAATTTGTGATAGGTCTTTTTTATTTTATTTTATCTAAGTAGTAATTTTATCTTTAATTTACTGATTATTTTCTTTCCATTTCAAATTTTTTTTTTTTTTTTTTTCTTTTCTTGAGATCCAAAATGCAACTTCATGAGAAGCAGTGAAAGACAGAAACTTCAATGATTATGAGTAAAGATGTTTGAAGGTGAAAAATGGTCAAAATTAAGGGGTGTGAGTGAAATTATCCCTAATTTTTAAATGGATGTAGTGTTATGAGTTAAAGTTGATTTGAACTTCGCATTGGATAGGATTTGAACTTCGCATTGGATTGAATTTGAACTTTGCCTTTATTAACGTTGGTTAAGTAAATATTAAATGAACTCAAAAATATGTGTGTTTGTGTGTGTGTGTGTGTATATATATATTTGGAGTTCAAAACGAGCCTTTAAACGAACATGTTCATGAACAAATAAATATATTTGAGCTTCGCTAAGAATTTTGTTTAAGTTTGAACCATTTATTAAACAAATGAACACAAACTAACCTGGGCCTTCCAATTTGTTTTCCGGTTAACTAATAAGCTGACTCAACAAACCCAATTTACATATATAATAGTTACTATTTTTTTCCCTCGTTAAAAAAACTCTTACTTCAATTTTATTATATTTTTTTAAAGTCAAATTGAGAAATCTTTATATTGAAAATCGAAATTTTGATACTTGATTTATTATGCCTTTGTAATATTTGTAATTTCGAGTAACAAGTTTTTCGTAATAGGATTGGTTAGTATTTATCATATTTGTCTTTTGACTTTATTTAAAGTATTTGTAATTCTTTGTTTACAACTCTTTTATAACTCATCTATAAACAGAGGTAGGTATTTATAACTCACTTATAAATAGAGGTGGGTATTTATAAATTTTTTTATTTTTTTTTCAAAAGTTGGGTATTTATAATTTTGTGTACACAAGTAAGAGATTTCATAACAAAAAGTGCTGCTTGTCATGGATGTAAGTACTATCGAAGATATCCTATTCTAGATCATTGTTCCGCTCCTTGATTGAAGCTTTTTATATACTTTAACCCTAGGCTTTTGTTTACGTGTCCCCACTAGGCTTTTGTTTCCTTTGTTTTGTTTTGTTTTGTTTTTTTTTTTGTTTTTTTTTTTTTTTCTAAAATATTTTCTCTTTTACACCACTAACAAATAAAACGTCCCATCAAACCAGGCACAAATGGACAAATTAATAGTTTCCCGTTTTTTCTTTTGAAAGGTTATAGTATCCCATTTAGTTAACTGTCTAGCTTTATTTATTTTTTATTTTTTTTCTATCTATATACTCAAGTTACACAGAGCGAGAGTGAATACAGGAGCAAAAATGAGAGCACAAAAGTGTCAAAGTCTAAAAATTTTTAGAGCGGGAGTGTTTTGAGAGCGTCTGTATACTAGGTTTAAATAAAATTATACTAGGTCATGACATATATATTTTATATATTTTTATTTATTTAAATTACTATGTAAATATATTCAAAATTATTTATTCCATTAATAATATATATAATAAATAAGCTAACTTTTGTCACTAATAAATGCGAGATTTATTTGTAATATTCTCTAATTGGGAAGTTTTTTAGTATTATATTTTCAAACATGTATAATAATAATAATTATTATTATTATTATATATATATATATATATATATATATATATATATATGTGTGGTAGTATAGCAATGCCGTATGGCTGGGGCACACTAAAATTTAAGTAATTAATATATATATTGAGTAATAGTATAAGTAATAAATGCATATATGCCTATATGGTAATATAAGTGTTCTATATCGTTGTGACTCTAACAAATTTACCTATATATATAAAGTAAATTCGTATAGAAATAGCGAATTAGGAAAACAAATTATCGAATTGCAAAAATTTAATTTGCAAATTTTGTTCGTATTCACTCCCAAATCACAAATTTACATGCGGGGCTTCTTTTAACGTATTGTGTGACTAACCTCGTGACAATAGATTCTACTTTTTATATTTGACTTTTTCAACAATTACATTTACTATTTCATTAATTTCTCAATTGTATTTTTTAATAGGTTTACAGAAACGATATTATTATCTCACCTATCATTTTACTTTGGTGTGTGGTATGGCTCCCTTTTCTAAAACAGAGCAACCCTTGCACCAATTTGTGTTGCAACACGTACAGCCAGCCAGGAAAAAATATTTGGGGGTTGGGCCAAATTAATTAATATAAAATTAAATTTAAAAAATAAAATAAAATACTTATAATTTTTTAGTTCATTTTTAACGTTCAAGAGCATGTATTTATAGATGATATGAAAGGAAAATTAGAGCAAATTAAGAACAGTTGAGAAAAGAAAATTAGAGCAAATTAAGAACAGTGAGATTTTCTAGTGTCAACTGTATTTTTTTTCTTCTCTCTAATTCATAACAAATAATATATATATGTGTGTGTGTGACTGCCGTGTGCATAAATAAAGTATGTTACAATATGGTTATTATTATTATTAGGGTAAAGTGCAAAAAAACCCCCCAAACTTTACTCTCTCTCCCTAAAAACCCCCCCCGAACTTCTATTTTTACAATAAACCCTCTAAACTATTTCAATTTTTGCAATATACACCAATCAACACTGTTCCGGCAAGTTCTGTCCGTGAAATGCGCATGTGGCTTATGCTGCAATTTAAAAATGGCAATTTTACCCTCATTTAACAAATCCCCAAATTGAACCCTTTTTTAGTCTTACAAGTCATATATATGTATATATATATAGTTACACAAACCTGAGACCCATCTCATGGATCCCTTCACAAAATTCAAATACTATGGACTTCATCGGCACCTTCGATCACAAGATCAATAATCTTTTTCCTAATTTTTCAAAATTGGCTATTTGCTTCTTTCTTTGACGTGCCTCCAAATTTTCTCTCTTCACCGGCACCGAAGCCGGCGCAATATCGCCTCCATTCACCACCACTTAATAGAGGGCACTTTTCATGGCCTACCGTCACTATCGCAATATATATATATATAGTTGAACAGTGGCCTTTTAAGAAGCTAGACCACGGATCACCATTCTATTCTTCTCCAAATTCAAGTTCTCCAATTGGTGTCGCAGCTGGCGTTTTGTCTGTGACGTGGTTGCTCGTCAAAGAGTTTTATAAGGAGTAGGGCTGCAAATGAGCCGAGCCGAGCCGAGCCGAGCTTTGGGTTGTTCGGGCTCGACTTGTCATCTTTAAAGAGGTGCTCGGGCTCGGCTCGGGCTCGGGCGAGCTTAGCCACGTAGGGCTCGGCTCGGGCTCGGGCGAGCTTAGCCACGTAGGGCTCGGGCTCAGGCTCAGGCTCGGTTAAGTTTCATGAAGTTCGGGCTCGGCTCGGCTTGGACTTGTTTATATACACCTTCCAAATTTGCTTCCTAACTGTGCCTTCCATGCATAAAAAAGATGTATCGATTCAACCAAAAAAACAGAGATGGTCAGAGATTCGGAGAACATATTTCTACTAAGATCTATAACTAGAAAATTTTCCATAGAAGGCAGAAGGCAGCCAAGAACCAGAGCATCTGCAATTTTTTTTTTTTTTTTTTTTTTTTTCTACTAAAATTTCAATATACTCAAGTAGAAGAATGAATTCCAAATTCAAGAAAGTAACTA